AAAAAAAAAATATATATATATATATATACACAGTGGGTACGGAAAGTATTCAGACCCCCTAAATTTTTCACTCTTTGTTATATTGCAGCCATTTGCTAAAAACATTTAAGTTAATTTTTTTTCCTCATTAATGTACACACAGCACCCCATATTGACAGAAAAACACAGAATTCTTGAAATTTTTGCAGATTTATTAAAAAAGAAAAACTGAAATATTAAATTTCTTAAGTGCAGCAGAAATATTAACTTAAATTTCTGCTGCACTTATATCTTCATGTTAATACACTATCATGGTTTGTGACCTCTTAGACCGAGCACACACTATAAATCAGCCATTCAGAGACTATTTAAAGACATTTACTCACCCGTAAGTCATTCCAAACCCGTATGACTTTCTATCCTTCATGGAACACAAAAGGAGCAATTCTCAGGAAGCCTCAACTGAAAAGAGTCACCAGTGCAATTCTTCATAATCATCTTTTTGTGTTCCACAAAAGAGATAAAGTCATACAGGTTCGGAATGACATGAGGGTGAGTAAATGAAAATTCATTTTTGGGTGAATTTTCCCTTTAAAACATGACAGAATAGCTAATTTCTCGCAGTGTGCAATAGACTTTAAACACTAAGAATCTCTGCACTAGACGTTTAAAATTCAAGTCACCCTCTTGTCCAGCACTATGTCCCTGACACACACAGCTGCCATTTTCGCCTGCTTTTGAAGGAAATTCAGCACATGTAAATGAGGCGGGGAGGGCAGCTTTCATGAGAAATGATGCTCGCCAAACCTCTGCTCTCTGATTCAGACATACAGATAATAAACCCATTAAGTCTGCTGCTCTTCTGACCTCTCCAATGACTCCCTCATGTTAGCGGCTGTCAGTGTGTGAGTGTTTGTGTGGGGAAAGAGAGAGTGAGAGAGATGAGACAGCTTTAACGACCATCTACTGAGTGACTGCTCTATAAAGTCTATCTTTATTGAGCTTTAATCACCTTCACTTTAATGTAACAACCTTCGACACACACACACACACACAGTGTTCAGAAGGAAATGGATGGCTTTCATTTAGTTCTCTCCTGCTCTCTGGACCGCCACTGTTAGAGCAGATCTTATCAGACTTGAGAGGTAATGCACAAACAGCGGCGAGAGACAGAAAGAGGAAAACAGACAAAAAGAAGAGAGAGACAGGATGGGCTCACAATGACCTTTCACACTCTCACAGTGTTTCTGAAGCGCACAGCTGCAGCTCTATACAGACCAAATGTGCGAATGCAAGGTGCGCAAGTCGCATCACGTCAAAAAAACTGCATAACTCAAATAACAGCGATTAGATTTAATAATCACAACCAGATGAATATGAAATAATAATGACTAATTTCCTGAGAAAATCACAGCAACATATCTTTTAATACAGCACAAAAACAGAAAAGGATACAGATTGAGATACAGAGAAAGTGAGTCAGATTAATTAGTCATTTATCATCTATAAATGACTGAAAATGAAGTTAATCACCTACATCATCTCAAACTGGTATGACTTTCTTTCTTCTCCAGAACACAAAACCGTTTTAGCAATAATTTCTTTTAATATATATATATATATATATATATATATATATACCTTTTTTGTAATCAGGCTCTCAAAAAGTATATAACAATTTGGATATAGATTTATCGGCCAACATATCGGTTATCGGCTTTCAAAAATAAAGAATAATCGGTTATCGGTATCGGCCAAAATTTTCATATCGGTGCATCCCTATATATATATATATATATATCTTACTTTGTGTTTGCAGAAGAAAGAAAGACTTTTGGAACAACATGAGGGGGAGTAAATTAGTTTTTATTTTTGGGTAAACTATCCCTTTAAGAAACTGTTGGATCAGGATCATTAAAAGAACTTCAGAGACACATGCACATACTTTGCATGACAACAATTGCACTGAACCTCTCTGTTAACAGTTCTTCTCATGTACAGACGTAGAGAAGTATGAGCGGGTGTGTGCAGTTCTTACCCATTCTCTTGTGTTCTGCATTGCTGGTTCTGTGTTCTAAAGAGAGTGAGAAAGGAGAGGACTATGGTAATACTGCAAATGAAAAACCCTAAATGCTAAAAACAAACATGCAGACAGACAGTGCAACCAAAGATGGTTCTTAAGATCACTCAAACTGGGTTTAATATCTTAGTTCAATTGGCTTTTTGCCTTTAATATGAATGTGAAAATGTACCCAATTTACCTGAATTGACCCTTCTCAAACTAAGAGGTAAAACAATTATGTTTTTAAATCACCAGTAAAAAGAAATAAAATGAAGAAAGCTAAAATGAAAATGGTTTAAAAAAGCTAGCGGAAATAATCAAATAGAAATAGTCCTTTTTATAGAGCTCTCATTGAAATGCAAATAGTGTGAAGAAAATGTGAAATTGCAAAACTTAACCTTGGCTCAAACACACCATGTGGTGAGACTCTAAACGTCAGAGATGCTGTGCGATATAGTGATGGACAGTTTTATGAAGACATTAGCAGGAGGATTTCACACCTCGACACTCTCTCACGCACACACAGTTCCTTACCATCTCTCTGGGTAGAAAGGACTCTTCCTGTCTCAGTACCTGAAGACTCACAGTCCCACCCATGGGAGTCGCCCTCAGCAGAGAAACCACCTCCTCCTGACCACGCCCATTAAGAACCACCCCATTGACCTGCACCAACCACAAAATCACTCGTTTGTGTCTATATTTAGACTTTATTCATTTATAATTGTTTCATTATTTAAAAATATAATAAAAATGTATTTATTTTCTTTTTACCTCTAGCAATCTATCCCCTGCCTTCAGTCTCCCATCCTGTATGGCAGCTCCTCTTGGCAGAATATTCTTCACATAAATAGGGGCGGAGCTTCCAAGAGGGACGTCTCTTGATGTGATGCTGAACCCGAGACCTTCAGGCCCTGACAGACACCGAGAGAACACAGTTAAAAGACAGAGCTAAGGATATATACACCTATCCATTTGATGGGGAAAACATAATATAAAATAAAAAATGTAAATAAACACATTAAAAATAAATAATTAATTAATTAATTTTAGAATAAATAAATAAATAAATACATTCTGGGGTGTCTACTTTCATGTGTCAATTGCTTGTTAAATGATCAATGATTCACAAAGTGTAACTCAAACATCAAATTGAGGTCAAAAATTAAAACAAAATTAAAAACGGCTTTCTGATTTCGAAAAAAAAAAAAAAAAAATTAACAATTAAATTCCTTAATTTGTAAAGTGGTTGACAGTGAGAACATTTTAGGTACAAAAATGCTAAATACATTGAGGTCAAAAAATAAAACGGCTTTTTGATTTCGAAAAAAAAAAAAAAAAATTAACAATTAAATTCCTTAATTTGTAAAGTGGTTGACAGTGAGAACATTTTAGGTACAAAAATGCTAAATACATTTTTAAAAACGTTATATTATCAAAATATTATGTTTAGAAAGCATTACATTTAGCTTTTGCTATTAACATATTACCTCTATCATATTATATTATATTATAATACACACTTCTCCGGGTGTGTGTTCACGGTGTGTGTGTTCACTGCTGTGTGTGCTCACTGCTGTGTGTGTGCACTTTGGATGGGTTAAATGCAGAGCACTAATTCCAAGTATGGGTCACCATACTTGGCCACATGTCACATGTCACTTCACTTCACTTTATATTATATTATATTATATTAAGTCCCACAGTTAATCTGTAATCTGTACTGTTCTGCTACATAATATTTCAGTGTCAGATACATAATGAAATTAAAGTACATTTGAAAGGACTGCAGTTTAAATGCATTCATTTAGCTCTTAGCCCACACAGTTTTGAGTCTGCTTTCTGTGTCAGATTTCTCTCTGTTTGCATGTGAGTAACATCAGAAGCTTGCGGCTTAGAGAACCATCAGGCTACAGCCTGTTGATGGAGACTACAGGACTGGAACAGAAGCCACCTGGACTACAGGGGGTCTGAAAGGCAACACAAGATCATGACCTATCGATCCAACAGGCTGGGTTTAAACCTTCTGAGGTACAGAAATTGGAGATGGTGTAAGAAGGCTGAGATAAGAGCATCTGAGCCTGACAGAGAGACAGAGAGTGAGAAAGAGAAAGTGGCCCCACAGGTTGAGTTCAGTCACACTTTTCAAAAAGAACACTGCAAGCTTTTGCTGTGTGTGTGTGTGACTTGGGTCCAATGAAACCCAGAGAATCAGACAGCCATATGGAAACACATCACACTGACAAGCGGCGCTGCCTAGCAACGCTCCCTGCACCGCTGTTCCGTAACCCCGCCGCCACCCCGTGCACCCACTGGGCCACCTGTCCACACACAGGTGCCAAGACTTGTGCCAACTGTTGTCAATCATTTCACATCCCACACCTTTAAAGCAGGGAAACACACACACACACACACAGTAAGGAGCTGTTGGCAGATAACAGAGCAACATTCTCCCAGCTGAATCAGTACAGCAGACTCTGCAGGATGGGAAATATGCTCAGCAATAGACATCTGGATTCATTAGCACAGCCTTAATCATAAACAGGGCATAAAGCATATTTTAACATAGCCACATCGCATATTAAATCATTTTAATAAAAATAACAAATAAACATAATTTAGTTGAAATAAAGAATAGAAAAGAAGTGCTGCACGGGGTATAGGGTTCTTGTCTCGGTGCTCTTTGGGTGCAAGGGATGATTCAACTCATAAGAATAATAGTAGTCCAAGGCACTCAAATCTTATTCAAAAAGTTTTAAAAAGCCTTTATTTCATCATGGCTATATGTTTTAAAAACAGGTGACAAGTGCACACCTACACGTTGCGGCTATTTTGCCTTCGTCAGGGTGTGAGTAACAAACATTAACACATTAAATCAAAACACAATATAATCATATATAAAGGAGAAAAAACTAAATTACATAAACTTAAATATATAAATCAGACTCCACAAATCAATGTGTGTACATAGTATACATTTCTTAAAAAAATAAATAATAATTCAAAACAAGATCAACAATATAATATTTCCAGATCTGAATTCTTATTACAAAAAAGCTACAAGGTCTAATTCCCCATTTAAGCCTGGAAGTTTAGTTGCTTTCAGTGTATAGATCCAGAAAGACTCTCTCTGTAAAAGCCTATTGACCCTATCACCTCCTCTTATTGACCTAGGGACATGTTCTATTCCGATTATCTTCAATGTACTCGGGCTACCATGATTTTTCTCTTTATAATGAAGGGCCATAGGATACAAAGGGTTACAAACTTGAATGGCATTCTTATGTTCTACTAATCTGATCTTTAATTTCCTTGTAGTCATCCCTATATAGAAACAACCACATGGACACACTAACCGATACACTACAAATGAGGTATTGCAATTAATAAATTATTTAACTTTAAATTCAATGCCTGAAGCTACATTTTAAACATATTTGTCTTAACCATATTGTCACAGTGATTGCAATTGCCACATCTGTAATTTCCTGCACTAGGACATAGCCAGGTACTCAATTTCTTAGAGGAAAGATGACTTCTCACTAATTTATCTTTAATCGTAGGTGCTTTCCGGAATACAATGGAGGGAGATTCAGGCATGACTTCCCTGAGATGAGGATCGCTCATCACAATTTCCCAATTATTTTTTCTATTCACTTCTGTACTGTACTGTGTAACGAAATAAACCGAATTATCAGAATCTTGTGATTTACGTTTTTGTACTAATAACTCCTCTCTACTGATGTTTGTTGCTTTATTAAATGCCTTGTTGATCACCCTGTTTTTGTACCCTCGTTCCTGAAATCTTTGAGTCATTTCTTGAGCCCTGAAATCAAAATCATCTTCCTTGTCACAGATCCTTTTTAACCTCTGAAACTGTCCTAAGGGAATATTGTCGATCAACCATGAAGGGTGAAAACTATCCGCTCTTAAAATAGTATTTCTATCTGTTTCTTTCCTAAAAATAGTAGTATGTAATACACCATTGCCTTCTTTAAAAATGTTTAAGTCCAAGAAATGTATCTCAGTATGTGAAAAATCAAGACTCAACTTCAAATTCACATTAGTATTATTTAAGTATGAATGAAAGACTAACAAATCTGCTTCTGAACCTGTCCATATCAAAATGAAATCATCTATATATCTACCCCACCACATCACATTCTTTAAATATGGATTTGAATCAGAAAATACA